CATCCCTCGTCCAGAGCTTTTGCGTATGCATCGAGATGAGGCGTCAAGATTGTTTCCCTGGATCCCTCAGCCCACAACCTCAAGTTCTTACGTTCTGCTTTGGGCACACGTTTGTGTTCGCGTTTTTTGGCTGGTCTCCCCATAACTGTAGAGGAGATACGAATCGTCGTCAGCAAGCTGTCATGAGCAATTCGACGATCCAGGATAACTCACTACTGTCTCTGTGCTTTTTTCTTTCTTGGCTTGACCTTGCGGTGCTCTGTCAAGATCTTTTTATTTGTGCTTATGATTGCTTATATTGTTGAATGCTCACGCTCTCCTCCTCCTCGTGCGCACATCAGTTCGGAGTTTCAATTCCTAGCAGCCCTATAAAGCCTTGACGCACGCGTTTGATTTCATATCGCTCCGCCTTCCACTCCCCCATGACTTCGTTCACTGACACCTCTTATGGGACAGAGTCTCAGCCCTCTGTCCCAGTAGCGGCCCCGGGTGTTCCCAGCAATTGTAAGTCCTCCTATTATATGCGCGCTCTTCTCACTGACCTTTGGTTTCAGCCGCCGCTGCTGCCGCCGCCTTCCAAAGCATCCTCAATGCTATGGCAACTTTGACTCACGGTAATTTACTCGTTCTACTCCAACGTTGGTCTCAACCTGTGAACAGCCAGCTCGCCCGGGCGTGTCACTGCCCCGGTCGTCGTCCCTGCTCCGGTTGCCACCTCTGCCCCTGTCGTTGCTTCTGCTGCCCCGCTTGTCGCCCCCGCCGCTCCTGTTGCCCCCGTCGGTTTTCGCACCCGCAGCCCGTGGGTTGCGGGAGCTCTCTATCAAGTTGTTCCTGGGGGCCGCTAACCGCCATCGCCGAGGAGGAGGTCGCTGCAGACTCCTTGCCCTACTGGTACTGCATCACCAGGGGCAAGTATGTCGGCGTTACCCTCAGCAATGCGCTCGCGCTTGCGGCGGTCTCCGGGGTTTCCTGCAGCTCGATGAAGGCCTACAAGACCCAGATTCTCGCGATCGAGTCATTCAATGAGATGCTTGCGTTTGGGATGGTTGCCGTTATTGCGACCTAATGGTGAGGCTTCCATTTTTTTTTTGTGCATTCTCAACGTTGCCATAGATTACGCGTGAATAATAATACCCCTCCCATTGGTTTTTTCTCTCTTTCTTTGTTCTCGCCGTAGTTTCCTTATGTCCGTTGCATAGTTTGTAGCCATCATGTTCTGTGTTCTTCGCGTAATGTGATAAGAATAGTATAAGAATTGCATGCTTGATGTGGCATTTCGTGTCAGCTCACGCGTCAAAACCTCCATGGAGGCAGATTGTCGATCCGATGGACTTCCCGATTTGGTCTTCTGCTCAGATCTCCAAGATCCCACTTTCACTATATTCCGTATCGCCATCCAGGCAGAACGGGCCCCGGCCGATGGGTTATTTGGTAGCCTCAAATGGCTTTCTTCACGCAGATGCGCCCCCTTTTCTCGCATTTTCTTGTCTCCATTCCCTTCTTGTCCTAACTTGCAGCCTCTCACTTAGTACGTTCGTCGGTCTGGAGTTTCAGCGTCCAGGTTTTTCTGGAGCCCTGTCAGACATCAGTGCGTTCTGATTAGTTTTCTGATTGATTCTGATGGTTGTTAGCGCGTCCTTGTGGCAGCAGATTCACCGGGACCGAACTCCGACCTCAAAACTCTTTCAAACGAATCTTGCATCCGCTCCTTGCCTAATTTTCCCCTCATGACGGCACTCAACAATCTCGAAGAGGACCACGATTCTGAGCTCCTTCGTCTTCTCGCTAGTCTCGACCTTTGGGACGCTCGCCCACATTCTATCCCACCAGCCACTCCGCCGCCCCGAACTCCGTCGCTCCTGCCGCCACCATATACTGAGCCCGTGCGCCACACGTTCCCAACTGTCCGCTCTCGTACATACACCGCAACATCCGGCTCAACTCTCTATCACTTCGAGTCTCCCACGCGGCGCGGCTACACAATTGACTGGTGCTCAGAATCTTTTCATGTATGTTTCTGACTGATTGTTCTCATCCAGGTCGCAGGCGGGTGCCGCTACCCAGGGGTTCCCAACGCCACTGTGCATGCCTTCCACCCATCGCGTTCCAAGAAGAAGCGCCCGAAGAAGGCATACGTAGTGTTTTGTGGGACACAGTGTGGCGTCTTCCTTTCCTGGTGCGCGCGGTGCCCTTCCGTCATGTACTTCACTAACTGAATCTCAGGGACATCACAAAGTCTCTTGTCTCTCGTGTCTGTCACAGTCTTTTCCGCGGTTATGGTACCATGGCTGAGGCGCATGCCGCATTTGCATACGCTGAGGCTTGTTCTTGGACCCGCATCGCGAACACCCGAGTCACTGCCATCCCTGCCCTCCCTCAACCCGTCGCGTTTGCGCCATTTGACGCAGAAAACCCGCTCAATGGTGCCGAGGAACTGGACGATCGCTGGTTCATCGTTTATCGTGGGATATGCCCAGGTGTATACCGCTCCCAGTTGAGCTCATTCATTTGCTTGTCTACCTATATTGTGAACTAACGCTCAACTCCTAGTCTGGAGTGTCAGCTCAACACCCTCGGCGTATCCGGAGCATTGCATGAGGCCATCGAAGGCAAGGAAGCCGCGCAGGCTAAGTTTAGGGCCGCCGTCGCGTGCGGGAGCAAAGTCGCTGTAGTTTCTCCCGTCTATACTGAAGTCGGAGACCCGTTCATATAATTTCTTTGTGTTCACGTTGTCTTTGTTCGATTTTAATGATACATTTGACGTTGTTCCGCTCCCACATACATAACTGAAGAAAAGCAGGCCAGTTGTGCGCTCAATGACTCTGTGTACGATGTCAAAACAATGTGACTGCGAACTTCGTACATTCGGTAAGACCTGCGCTTTGTGTCTTCCTTGAATGAATACAATCTTTGTATGGAAAATTAACCCAGCCAAGTTTCTCCAATAAAGTCTCTCTTGCCCTCCATGCCAACCCCCTAATTTCAATTTTTTTTTCGGTTTGCCAGTACTATTTTGGTGAGCGAACCTGGCATGGCGCGAACTTGGCACACCGGTAGAAGGCCGGTTTTTGTCCCTCTGTATCTTACCTCTGCCCTTGCGCCAAACTGAAATGGCAAAACACTGTGTTTGACTGCTCGTTAGATGTCTGTGCAAATACCAAATTGATTGGTTTTTCTACTGATTTACAATAAATTAATTTCTGTCCTGGGCGTGTGAACTCGGCACAAACACGGCCTTCAACGCTTCTTTTATTTCTCCCACTGTAACCTCACCCACTTCTCGCTCTTAGCCCTGCCTCACCCAATCACCTTTCGGCAAAATTGCAGATACGCGGTCTCTCTGTCGTCACATTAGGTCTCGCACTCTTCAAAGTCACTCACAAGCAACAAATGGGACACAAATGAGCGTTTTAATAGTGTGAACTTGGCACACTGATCTGTGTATGTTTACTGCATTCCCTTCACCTGCAAGCATCGCTACCACAATCTGAGCCATACATATTTCTTTCCATTTCCCATAGCACTCTAGTCCCGGAAGTCTTACTCGTTATCCATTGTGGTGCCATGCACCATCGAACTTATGTGGCGAACTCACCACGTACTCGCGAATCAAGAGGTGCGAACTGCCCACACGAAACTTGCCACGCTTTCATCCGGAGCAAACTCTTGACTTGGCTGGGCTTTGACTATCTCGGCCACATTCTGAGTCGACCACTGTACTCAAATACATCAAAGGTATGTCCCTACGCAAAGATTTCGCTCTATCCGGGTCGTGGCGCTATGCACCACTCAATTCCGGGAAGGAAACTCACCACGCATTTGCAATAGGGGCTGCGAACTGCCCACAGTTCGTAGCCGAGCTTGGCATGTGTTTTGATTTATTTGTTGTCATCACATCCCTCTCCTCTCCCTCCCTCGCATGGCTCACCCACCGATGAAATCCAAGTACAGCCGGGGCCCTACCGAGGAGGACTTGAGGTACACTGTGACTTGGCCGCCTTCTGCCCCTGTTTCATCACAAGTCCCCCAGAGCCCAGCGCCATGCTGCGCGCAACGAGAAAGCCTGTTTGCGAATGGCACGGTATGTGTCTTTTACCAGACGCGTGCGATGCTCAAACCATTCCAGGAGGCACGCAGAGCTTAAAACTAGACCATTGGAGGAGCAACGAGCCACTGCAGAGCGGGCTAGAGAGTATCAGGCGCGGTATCGTGAAAAGTATGTGTTTTTTTGGCGGTTGTTGACGGTCTTGTAAGCTTGTTCCAGACATAGAGATGAACTGCGCATTTGGGAGGCTCACCGCCGCATCGAGTATGTCGTACTCCTCGAACCTCCTTACCTATTTTCAGAGTGTACAAGGCGAAGCACGGCCTGAGGGCCTTCGCATCATATCTCAAGTCCAAACGCGAGCGGAGGCGCAAGAGACTGGCGAAGAAGTGGATGAAAGAAGGCTATCCACCCAGTGACAATGACGAGACCGACACCGCCAACCAGACGACCGGCGTTGCTGAGGACACTGATGGCAACTAACATGGTATTTCTTTTGGTTTTATTTTTATTTTTATTGAGTCGCTGATCGCTATAGTAGCTTGTATGGTAGGGGATCAAGGCCTGTGTTACACATTGGTGTATGTTCGCGCCTTCTGCTAGCGGTTCCTCGTTCGATCCGGGGCCAGGCCATGATCCAATCTAAACACCCTTTTTTTTTTTGCTATCTTTTCTGGCTATTTATTCGGACGGTTGCGCCTCACGTGCGTTCCTACCTACATTTGTCTCTGTCTTATACACAATACAATGTACTTGCGTTTGAATACCTCCCGCTACCTCGCATGTCAAAAACCAAATGGAGTTGTCATCCGACATGATAGGCATGTAGATATTATGGAACCTCAAAGTCCACGCGACGATACCTTAAGCGTAGAGTGTTTGGTTTTATTCGTTTAAAAAGGGCAGTGAAGGACGACCTCAGAAAATGCGAAGGCCAACCAAAAAAACAAAAAACAGCCTTAGTCTGGATTCGAACCAGAGACTCCCATGAATATCAATCACCTCGGGTACTCACAATTAAGAGGCGTGTTACCAACTACACCACCAAAGCTTTAAAAGACGCTGTACCCAGGCTAGTAATACCGCATATCAAAAGCAAATGGACACTCGAGCACATGGTACCAGGTAAGTAGGCAGGTATGTCTTATGGCATGGAACCTCAAACTCGACGCGATGATACCTTCAGCATAGTGCATTTGTTTTTTGTTCCATTAAAAAGGGCACAGGAGGACAGAGCCTCAGTAAATCCAAACACAAAAATAGAGAAGCAGAAGTCGGCGCTTATCGCTTGCCAAATTAGGAAATTACGCCAGCAAAACACTGCAAGCGCTTATTGTTTCTCTCACTGCGACCTTTCCCAACACACTATGCGCGCAAGAAGAACAGTCATACAATGAAATTCATTGGAAGGAGGGACATTGTAAGTAACGGCAGTACTATATTTTATATGAAAAAGACGTCACGGATTTTAGTAAACAATTTGGCGCTGGTTTCCCCGCGCTTGAAACACATCTCTTCCCAGGCCACGAACTCCTCGAGCGGTGCGTCATTGGCGAACTCCAAGTCAGTACGTCTGTTCTTTTCAACCCAGCGGAGTGCACCAGCGTTACAGAACTGCTTAAACAGGTATTGGTGCTCACCCTTCCCGACGGCGGCAAAGAAATATCTTTTGGTCCCTGCTGGAAAAAGGACGGTTGCGCCAACCGGCATCTCTATCATTTCGTTGTCGTCGCAGAACACGATGTGGCCGCCCTTCTTGTGGTCGTAGGAGCCGATGACGGTGATGGCTTCCATGGTATAAAAGGTTGCCTCGTGTTTTTGCGCGAGGTCATGGGGCCGTCGCCGAAGCTGATCTCGCTTGTCGTGAAGATTGATTTGGGGAAGGCAGGGAAGGCAACGTGTCACTTGACGAGCTGGTCCACCTTGCCGCTGGCCACGGCGGCCACACCTGGGGCGAATTGGTGATGCAGATCTGGCTTGCGGGGTGAGTAACCATCTACATCTCATGAGAACTGACTCACGGTTTTGATAGTCCAACATCGAACGCCAGGACGGGCTGCGCTTGATGTGTGCCACTTCGGCATAGCTCTGCCCGACATTGACGGCAGTGTGGGGGCCCTGCGGCTTGGTCGTGAGTGCTTGATGTGCATGCAAATGGAAAAGAACTTACCGCCCACTCATCTCCGAAGTCGATGCCCCAGTGCAGGCAGGTTTCGACCTCCCCGTAGCGCGACAGGTCGCCATTGCGGTAGATGTGCTTCATGTCACGGTGAACGTCTTGGACGGTCGCCGCCCATGTTCCTGCATCGTCCTTGGGTCCAACCGCGACGACCGCCATGATTATATCATGGCGGTCAACCAACGCGCGGGGTCGCCTGTTTTTTTTTGTCAGTCAGGTGCTAAACAGAAGTCTGCAGAACCATACCCATCAATCAACTCGCTCACGCGATAACCTGCGAGGCGGAGGTTCTCCAGCTGAAAGGCGGCATGCTCGGAAGCGTTTCCAGCTTGTACTCCACGGCGTGACCGACACAGCGCCAGTTTACGCGCAGCAGCTGCTTTTTTGGTGGTGATCTTTGCGTCGGCAATTTTTTGGGCAGCAATCTTGGTGTGTTCGATGCCGTGCAGAGCGACCTCGCAATCTGCGGCAATACGGGCAGCACGGGCTCGGTTGCTCTTGCCGTAGGTGATGAGGCGAGGAACGTCGAAGTCAGTCACGGTGGGGCTAGTCCTTGTGCCGGGAAGCGGAGTGAAGGGACTGCCAAGTCATTCCAAGGGAACGGCGGTGGAAGCACCGAAACTCTCTTCGCTCTCAGCGGACATGGGGCTCGAAGGGGGAGCGGGCTGGACGCGGGGGCGGGGCTGAGGGAACTGAAACTGTCCTCGCTCATACAGTTGGGGCTGGGAGCACGGGAAGGGCTGGAAGCGGGGAGAGGGCTGGAAGCAGCGAGAGGGCTGAAATGGGGGAGGGAACCATAAAGCTCGCTTTCAGTGTCGGACAAAGTAGCAGTCTCCGAACAATGCTGCTCAAGCTCATCGTCCCCATCATTAGAATCCTCGGACCCTAGGTGCAAACCGACGCAAGAATCCTGGCGGCAAATCTGGAGACGGAGGTCAGACTCAATTTGCATTGGAAAAGTGAAGACAAACTTCACCGCGGTAAACCGGGTCAATGTTCTCGCGCCCAATTGTGAGCTGATTTTGGTGATCTAAGGAGTCGGCAAACACGTAGGACATCCGGCTGCGAATCAGAGGGCCAAGCGCGTCGCACGTGAAGGTAGCGAAATCAGAGGAACGACCACGGCGACGTTCACGCCTCTCAGGCCACCAGATATCCATTGGGGTTTGGTTGGAGGTAGCGACATGGGGGCAAAGCTTAAAGCGTGGCGCGTTGAAACTGCGAAGGTGTTTATTATTTCAATGCCAATGGTCTCACTCAAAATCTTGGCTAGCACCATTCATATCTCAGATCCGCCGCGATCTGAACCGCCAGGGCCTACCCCAAATAGAAGTCATGGAAACCACACGAGTACAACCGTCTAATGCATGGGCGCCGATAGTTTGAAGCGATGGGTCGACCACATGTGAACTTTGCACAATCTCCAAGCGAAGCACACATGCGAACTTTCCCAAATTGACTTAGATCGAGTTTCGTTCGCTCATCCCCTTTCTCCTGCTTAGTACGCACATCCGACTGCCCTCACACTGCCTCACAACCTGTCTTCTCTCTCCCTCGTCTTCCCTCCCCCCCACCTCAACGCGCTGCGACTAAAATCAATCACAGCGGCATCGTCCCGGCTGCTCAAGAAACCATCGATTGCGACAGCGACAGTGAGTACTGCGACATGCCGGAACTCAAGGACGTCGACCACGACTCCGATGTTGACAGTAGTGATCCCGAGGCAGATGCCGAAGGAAATATCACCGAATTCGAGGATGTAGAGGACTCGGACCTACCTGTCCCCGGTTTGTTTCTTACCTACCTCCTCTTATTCTTACTAACATTTGCAATGAGATAGTCCTGCTCCCGGCTCGGCCTCCTCACTGGCTCCATTCCGAGTACGTCGAAAACTGCCATATCTTTCTATCTAACGCTCTGCTTAGTCTTTCAGATGTGAAAGATGACAAGTGGTGGAGTTTTCTTGAAACCACGACCTTCGACGCGACGTACATGGTCAGTAGCTACGACGTGTCCTGTCAGTACCTGGTCTCAATCTCTCAAGCCACTCGCGACTCGATCTCCCCGGCATCGCAGTACTCGGCCTCGACCAGTCACGGCTCGACCCTCCCCATATCGGCCGGCCCTTCGGACGAGCTCTCTCTCTCTCGCCCATGCTGGGCCTGTCGTTGGACAGATGCAGAGACAGTTGAACGGGCTTGGACGGAGTACAGTCTCGAGTTGGCCGCGGCGACTAAAGTGCAAGTCGTTTCTCTGATTTCAGTCGTCGATTTACTGACCAAGCTAATAGCCGCGCTAAACTGTAGGGACTTTGCAGTTGAATCCTTAGTTACTTTCGCGAGAGCCCAATGAATTTTTTAAAATTGTCCTTAGGAATTTCCCAGTCTCAGTATTTTATTTGCCCTTGGAATTTTCCAGTCTCAGTTATTTTATTTGTCACCCTTGAGAGAATTTTATCTTCCTCCGACGTTTTCTCGGATTTGCAATCCGATAGGCCTTGTCCCACGATAACCCTAATTTCTGACTGATTATCAATCATGATGTTCGGTTGCTGTTCGGGCAACTCGGAACTTGACCTGCTGGCAGCTGTTTCTCGTCGCTTGCTCCGGGACCTGTCTCACTTTGTGCTGGTTCCTACTTGGGTAATTGATGTTTTGGGGCAACTGTTTCCCACTGACTCGCTTGTACTTGACTGGCCTCTACTTGGCAGTTCATTATTCAGACATCTAGTCAATGATCTGCGACAGAAGTTCGCGAAAGAGAGTGTACATATTCTTGAAGCTGTAGTCCACGAATTGAAAAGGAAGGAGTAATTTGATTCCATGGAACTATTTACCCCCTCTGCTTTGCTTCCACGGAGCTACTCAAACCTCGCTACCTAATTAGAAATCAAAATCAGCGTTTGAAATATCATGAGGCGGAGGATCTTGTTCCGACGTTCAAACGCGTATGTTCACGTGTGTTCGCAAGTGTTTGCATAAGTTCGCTTGGGCTTGGCAATAGGAGCGTGTGATGATTCAAACGCGTAAGTTTGCATGTGTGTTTGCGTAAGTTTGCTTGGGCTTGGCAATATGAGCGTGTGATAATTCAAACATGTATGTTCGCGTGTGTTCGCAGGTGTTCGCGTAAGTTCGCTTGGGCTCGGTAATATGAGCGTGTGATGATCATCGATTGTCACTTTCAAGGTATATACCGAGATACTGAGCTGGAGGACAGAGGAGTGAGAGGAATGGATTTACAGCGAGCTGTGTATTCAGACAGATCCGTAGTGTCAGGAGGAGTGCAGGTGACCAATTCAGAGGCGAGTTCTCCAAACGGCAAATCTTCTCGCCTTTTTTTTTTGACCATTTGATTCAATTGATTGGCGGCAGCGTTACGCCTACGACGATTAGGAAACTTGGTGAAAGTTCCGTCAGTTCGCACCTGCGCACTCAATCATTGATTGACGGCAATATGTTACGCCTACAACAGTTGTGAACTTCGGAAATTCCGCGTAAGTTCCGTCATTTCATACCTCAATTCTGATATTCCTCATGTGAGTGGTTGCAGAATCAAGCAGGTGGTCAATGTGAGCTAACCTACCCGCTCAATCATTGATTGACGACAATGTTACGCCTACAACAGTTGTGAACTTTGCGAATTCCGTGTAAGTTCCATCATTTCGTACCTCGATTCTGATATTCCTCGTGTGAGTGGTTGCAGAATCGAGCAGGTGGTCGATCTAAGCTATCTTGAAATTACATGCGGTTGCGCCGGCAAGCCTCTGCCAAGGGAGAGGCTGAAGGAGATGCAGAGCAGACATTGAGTTAATATTTGAAGTTTTCATTTGGAGGACGTCAGTTCCCTACCCGTCCTCCCCCCCAAAAAAAAAC